GGCACGTACGGACTGCAGCAGCCATCGAACGAGGCAGTGCAAGCAGAGGCACTGCTGTAGCAGTAGGCACCGAGACGCCGCCGCTGCTCCTCCTCCCCCTCCTCCTGCTCCTCCCATGCGACCGTTGCTGCCTGCTCTAGCAGCGGCGCCATACCCCCCCGGGTCGTCGAAATCGTCCAACCGCGGGCAGCAGCAGAGCGCCCCCATGGCTGCTGCCGGGCGCAATGGCACGGGTAACTGCAGCAGCAGCAGAAGAAGGAGGAGCAGCAGCAGCCGCAGCAGAAACAGCAACAGCAACAGCAACAGCAACAGCAACAGCAACAGCAGCAGCAACAGCAGCAGCGGCCGGAGCCGAGATAAGAAAGAAGCAGAAGGAAACGCGGTTGGTGTTAGCAAGTGGTTCAGACGGAGCAAGTGGCTGGTGGCACCGATTTGGTGGGTGGACGAGGGGGGAGTGAGAAGGAATGAGGAGGAAGTGAGGGAAAAGTGAGGGGGAAGTGAATCAAATAAGGGAATCTGATGAGGGAATAAATCACACGCATGACAAAACATCAGTGCCTTTTCAAGATTTTGAAAGCTTAAAGCGTTTACATTCTGACGTGATCAAGCGTTTACGAAGAGTGACTTCGGAACCTTGATTGCCGAGTGCTGCTTTAGGAACTAGCTTAACTTAATCGGCTTACTTCAAACGAGCTCACTTTGAACTAAGTTACCGGATCAATCACAGGATAGCTCACGAAACGAACCTTACAACGATGTATAGCACAAACATATGGGGCAGATTGACGATGAGTCACCATGGCCGTACCCTGATGAAAGAATGCCTTATGCACCATCTCAGCTACGGGTTATTTCATTCTATACGGGATTCACCCAAGTGAAGCCCGCTCGTGAATGAGTTTTAACAGTATTTAAGTGTATTTCGGAAAGAGGCCACTACTGAATGCCTATTGTCCCCCAGACCTCCGAGGAAATCGCGTTGAAGTTACTAATAGCACCGAATAGAAGCAGCAATACCTCTGACTTCACCGACGGCCACGGAACGAGGAAGGAATTTAAGGCGACTGGTAAGTCAGCTTCTTGGCATGGAATGACAGCGGCGACGCCTTGAATTCACCAACGGCAACAGCCAAGGCAACCAGCTATGACACTAGCGACAGCGACAGCAGCGGAAGCAGCTGAAGCCGATGGTTTAATTCCCAAAACGAGCACAGAACTAGTGGCGTATTGATTCAGCTTAACTCAATCTACTGCCGTCTGCAAAACACCGAATCCGCCTATTTCATTTGACACAATCGTCGCTAAGAATGACCGAATTTGCCTCACCTAGCACATACCTACTCATCAGACCTCCTCACCAGACGTGGACCCACCAGGCAATCAGTCAGACGGACGCGACAGGGGGACGACTAAAGCCGTCACTCGGACGGCCTTTCACTCAACCGCCACTGCACTCCGCGTTCCTGTCGCGAGTTACTGCTAGACGAGGCTTGAAAGTGAGAGCGAAAAGGTGGTACTTAAAAGGCGGCTGTTCTTAGGATAGGCGACAACTGAATCCGTAGCCCAAAAAGAAGGAGCGTCCTATGAAAACGGAGGGAGGGAGTGGTTCGGCTTAGCAGGTGTTTCGACAGTCCCTATCTTATCATACTCTGCGCTGAGACTACTTTTTTTTTAGCAGCCAACTCTACCCTCAGTTGTGCAACATGTGGTTTAGGTGTGGGTGCCTGATTGGATGGCACCGAGCCCCGAGCCGAACCCCGAGCCTAATCCAGACCACCTCTTGGAGCCTTCGAGGTTCGGTTATGGCGTCCAAAGAAGCTACATTATTGGCTGTTCAAGTTTCTTTGTTCGTGCGTAGTGCCTTCGTGTCAGACCAGAAGTTGGATGCTATATGAAGGCATGCCGTGCTGGGTTGTGGTTTGAGAATTGCGTATAATGCGTATGGCGAGCTCTTTAACTGCTTTGTAAAGTGTTAAAAAAGAAACAGAAACATAGAGCCAAATACAGATATTGATTCGATTAAACAATGCAAAGAATGACGTTATTTCGTTAAATCAATGCAATAAATCACGGCTGTAAAAGTCGAGGAATATATCATTCCTGTGTGACGTAAATGTGAAAGAGGAGGTATACCATTGGTGCTCAGAATCATGGGAGACCCACCAAGCATCATAACGTTTGTTGGTTTAATACCTTGTATCTGTGCATTCACCATTAAAATGTTACATTTGTTCCACGCGGGTTCGCACAACAACTGGAGGGGGGAATGTGGAGCTCAAATGGCTTGGAACAATCTCGAACCACGACCTGGGGAACTACCCTGACCTGTGGTTGTCCTTACGTATCCCTGATTCTTGCTGACTGGTTCGGTACCTCCACCTTTTCGCTCTCGTCAGCAACAAGACATCCACGACGATGCCTGTGCGTAAGCATAGTTTTGAGCCGGAATATGCTGCGGTGAATACTTACCGAAATAATCCTGACTCGGACCGAGCGTATGAAAAAACCTCAGAACCTGACAAGCGAGGTGCGGTACCTCGCTGTGTCAGAGGATGTAACGCGTTCGGAGGAACCGAGCCTGACGTTTGTCTGACCCAAGCAAAAAGGCGGACGGTTTGGAAGGCATCATGTCAAACCAAACGCAGCATCTCCTCCACCACTCTGCCTACCCCTTTCCATCACTCTGCCTATTATCTTCGAGAGATTCTTTATTACTATTTTCCACAGACGATCAAAATCTGTTCTTTCTTGATTTGCTTTTTCAACTTGTGCCTCTCACACCGCTTCAGCGCGGTCGTCACTTGTCTCAATAGCGTTCTTGTTGTTCCATACGCGGATCGTACTTCCCGCTGACTGTTGAAGAAATCGTCGTCAGCGACTAGCCTTCGTCTCAACCCCTCTATCACCAACCACCATTCTCGAATCCTTCCAATGGTAGTCCTAGTTGTTCCAAAGCTCATCAAGCTTGATGCGTACGAGCGTATGCATCCAGATCTCAAGGAACGAGGCATCATCGCGTTGTTCCCAACGCTCTTCGAGCACGACCGTCAAGCCAAGACCAAGTGGCTGGAGAGCGTACTCGTCGATGCGAACACCTCCAACGGGAGCTCAGTTTGCCTCGCGGAACACATAACCTTTTGTGTTAGCGGAGACGCGGTGATTATAATGAAGTCGGCCGAAGCTGCGGAAGATCTGGAGAAGCGGAGCCCCTTGTATCGGGACGGCGACGAGATCGAGTTTCATCGATGGACGCAGACTATGCGAGTCCGGTTGCAGTACCGCGGAGCGTATAATCAGATCATGGAGCTTGAGGAGCAACAGTACTGATTCTCGTTAGGAGATTCTGTTTGCAGGTTTGTAACCTGCCTGTACGCTTTTGTAGACGAAAAATATTTAGCCGCTTATTGGTTATTTCTTATCTTGGACTACTAGATTCGCTGTAAGGTGGCGCGGAAAGAAGGCTGTGGTGGGGGGGGGGGGGGAGGGGGTTTGAGGGAAAGGGCAGCAATTGAGCACGGGTGTGTACGGTGATGCTTGTTGCCTTCAGTTCATTCCATTTTTTGTCGGATATGTGATTTAAGATTTTTCAGTTCAGTATTTTTTTCTTATTGGGCACCCAACTGCCGTTAACGTAGTAAGGCTGTAGAGCGTACATTGGAGCAAGAGGGCCATATGGCAGAACGGTAGGCGGTACGTGGTTACTGCACCTTAACTTGCAACTTCTCCTCCTCCTCCTCCTCCTCCTCCTCCTCCTCCTCCTCCTCCTCCTCCTCCTCCTCCTCCTCCTCCTCCTCCTCCTTTCCCCCCCAACATTCTCGTCAGTTCCTCCTCCCGTCCGCCGTCTGCTCGTCCTCCTCCCATGCTGCGTTTTCTCTCACAAGCCCCTCATCTCCAGCCCTCCTCTGACTACCCCAACCCCCGCCTGGCCATATCCCCTGTAAAAATCTTCCCCCTCGCATCCCACGAGCTCCACTTCCCCTCCCTTAGCACCCCGCTCTATCTCTCTTCCCCCTTCCTTCTCCTCCATAGTGTCTTTCCCCCGTCTCACCTTTGCCCCGTCCTCCCCTCTTGCATCTTCAACTTTCTTCCCTCTCCACGTCTCCCTCCATTTTCCACCTCCTTCACTCACGACCGGCATTCCTGACTGCTGATTTCTCGTATTCCACACCCTCTACCCCCGCCCTCACCTTGTCCCGTCGCCTCCGTCTGCCTCTCGTCCTTCCCTCCCCTCCCATCCTCTTGTTCCCCTCGTCCTTGCCGATCTTCCCTCCCTTCAGTCTCCTCTATCCCTCGTTTTTCATCTCTCCTCCTTGTTTCTCCAAGTCCTCCCTGGACCGTGTTCCTCGTTATACTACCTTGTTTGCCTATGTTGCTCCAGTCTATCAACTCTCGCCCCCACTTCCTCTGTCCATCTCGTGTATGCAATCTTTCACCTCAAAAGTACCACCTCGCAGTGGTTCTCCTTCCCCCCCTCCCTCCTTCCCTCTCTCCCTCACTCCATCGCTCCATCCCACTCCCTCTCCGTCTCTTTCTCTCTCGAACGGTCCTTGTATTGATGTGCTATACGGTGTTACAACCAAGGGCATCAAAGGCTAGACAAGGTGAGTCGCTACTAGATCACCTCTAATTTCTTTCCCTACAGAAGTTCCAGGCCTGGCTCCATTGTTGCAAAGCAATCCCCTGGGAACAGAGCCCCGTCCGGTCCTCCCACCGGCGGGGTTTCAAGCTGGGCGGCCAGGTGGAGCTTGATGATATACCGGTAGCTCACCGCATGCCCCCGCTGCAGTGCAGGGCAACCGACCAGCGCTGGCAGAACTGGTGGAGGAATCTCTCCAAGTGCCGGAACCTGAACTGGCTGACCTCTCTCCTGACCTCTCTCTCTCTCTCTTGAATGGTCCTTGTATCGAATGGTTCTCTCTCTCTCTCTCTCTCTCTCTCTCTCTCTCTCTCTCTCTCTCTCTCTCTCTCTCTCTCTCTCTCTCTCTCTCGTTCTATTTCTCTCTCGTTCTATTTCTCTCTCGTTCTATTTCTCTCTCCCTCTCTCTCTCTCGTTCTATTTCTCTCTCCCTCTCTCTCTCTCGTTCTATTTCTCTCTCTCTCGTTCTATTTCTCTCTCGTTCTATTTCTCTCTCCCTCTCTCTCTCTCGTTCTATTTCTCTCTCCCTCTCTCTCTCTCGTTCTATTTCTCTCTCTCGTTCTATTTCTCTCTCCCTCTCTCTTTTTCCCGCCCCCTCTCTCACTAATTAAGTTCCTCTTGCTCACCTCCCGCCTTACGCCATACCCAGGATCCACAACCCAATCACCATTACCCAGGCCATGCTCAGTTCCCACCACCCACCTACCAGTAACATCTTTATAACATGGAATTGCGTTTCCTTTGTGGCAACTCGATGGACTACCACTTCAGATGTGCCGCCTTTGCATATGCTTAAAAAATAGCTGTGTTTACAGGCCTTGCTCCTAGTCGGAAGATGCAAATAGAAAGTTGCCAACCAAGACACCAAGACGAAGCATGGCTGAAGTGGGCGGAATCCGTTGTGCAAGTTTTGGGCGAATTTTGCTGGTAGTTGGCGAATAAAATCTGGCTCAGCCGGAATGGAAGGAATGTTGCAGTGAAACACGCGCGTAACAATTTTGACGATTTAGGTTGCGTAACCATTTTGACGGTTTCGGCTCGTTAAGCAAACCGTCAGTGCGATTTTAACGTCAGTACTGTCAGAATCCCAGTCACTAGACCACTGGGATAAAAGGACTTGTTAAAGCCAGCAGCTAAAATAGTGACCCCCCCCCCTTCTAGTGGGTCCACTTGAAAACTCAAACTAACTTTGTAAAGGTTCTGACGGTCGAAGTGTTGTTCTGTTTTGTTTTTCAGACGCGTTCAAGTCTTCACACAATTTTTTACAAAAAACGTCGCAAGCATGTGTCGCAAGTTGGCGACGTGCAAATCCCAATCACACGATGGGGCCAATTTCAACAAGTGTTGCATGTTCAATTCACACACAACAAACGCCTTAGACATGTGCCTGCTGGGGCGGCAAAAACAGCATAGGAAAAGCAGAACTGCGGGAAAAAACAGAGAGTTTCGGGTTAGAGATAAAAAGGAATAGGTAGAAAAAAAACGAGAGCGCACGGAGAGCGCTGATTGAGCGAAAATTGCGGAATGGTAGGGTGTTGGGAGATGGGAGGGGAGAAACGAAGGGCGACTTGCAGGCATTTCGGGGCGAACGCGAAAGCGCCGAGGTGGGTGATGGGAGGGGAGAGAGGAAAGGTGACGACTGCATCGAGGGCAACGTGAGAGGAGGGGAGAGAGGATAGGAAACGGGAGAGAGCAAGGGCAACGGGAGAGAGAACTGGCAACGGGAGAGAGAAAGGGCAACGGGAGAGAGAACGGGCAACGGGAGAGAGAAAGGGCAACGGGAGAGAGAACGGGCGACGGGAGAGAGAAAGGGCGACGGAGAGAGAGCAAGGGCGACGGAGAGAGAGCAAGGGCGACGGAGAGAGAGCAAGGGCGACGGAGAGAGAGCAAGGGCGACGGAGAGAGAGCAAGGGTGACGGAGAGAGAGGAAGGGCGAGGGGAGGGAGTTTCGGGGCGTTGGCGAGGGCGACGAGGGGAGCGACGGGAGGGAGTTTCGGGGCGTTGGCGAGGGCGACGAGGGGAGCGACGGGATGGGAGAGAGGAAGGGCGACGGGAGGGAGTTTCGGGGCGTTGGCGAGGGCGACGAGGGGAGCGACGGTATGAGAGAGAGGAAGGGCGACGGGAGGGAGTTTCGGGGCGTTGGCGAGGGCGACGAGGGGAGCGACGGGATGGGAGAGAGGATGCGCGACGGGAGGGAGTTTCGGGGCGTTGGCGAGGGCGACGTGGGGAGCGACGGGATGAGAGAGAGGAAGGGCGACGGGAGGGAATTTCGGGGCGTTGGCGAGGGCGACGAGGGGAGCGACGGGATGGGAGAGAGGATGCGCGACGGGAGGGAGTTTCGGGGCGTTGGCGAGGGCGACGAGGGGAGCGATGGGATGGGAGAGAGGATGCGCTACGGGAGGGAGTTTCGGGGCATTGGCGAGGGCGACGAGGGGAGCGACGGGATGGGAGAGAGGAAGGGCGACGGGAGGGAGTTTCGGGGCGTTGGCGAGGGCGACGAGGGGAACGACGGGATGGGAGAGAGGATGCGCTACGGGATGGGCGACGGGATGGATGAACGGGAGGGGCGACGGTATGGGCCACGGAAGGGCGACGACGACGGAACGGAACGGGAGGACGACGGGACGGCAGAATGGGCGGGTGACTGGACGGCCGAACAGGAGGGCTATGGGGAAGGAGAAGTGATCGCGTGGGTAAGGGAGGCAAGAGGAGATCACGTGAGCGACGGGACGGACATTCTGATTAATACATGTTGAGATAACGAGGGCAACAGTCCAGACATAGCCTATGCCCAACCTAGCTACTTACCGTATAACTAGCGACGCAAAAATGGTAGTAGTTCACCCCATCCCAACTTGAAACATGAGCTGGGCCCAAATCGCTTGGATAGACTGAAACGATCGCCTATGCAATTGTCGTGCGAAATGAGAAATGAGAAATGCGACGCCACACATCCCCAGAATGTTTTTCTTTTGGCGGAAACCAATCAAAGGTGTTGGATTTGCACGTCTGCAGCGTTTGAAACGGTACCAACTTGTCAGTCCGGTCCAAAATTTGTTTCGCCCGGCAAACTCGTCCCTGCGCTCTTTCAAGTTGGGTTTGGGGTTCACTATTTTGCATTTCGGTTTTAAGTAGCGGGTTAGTGCGCACATAACCCCCCAGGACAACGAGCCTGTTGCTAGAAAGGCATAGTGCCGTCGTAGCGGAAGCCTTGATTGTAGAATAGATAGCAAGAGAATTCCGCAACTGAAAGGATTCAGAACAATGGATTTTAAATTATGAAACCACACAGCAGGGCATTTATCCATGCAATTACCCTGCCAAAGTCTAGCCATCCCCACCAACAATTGTACCTCCAATAATGGCAGCTCCAATAAAGGAGTACCAATAATTCTACCCTCAAACCTCTAGACTCCAATAATGCAGCCCCTACAATAAGAGCGTGTTCCTACGACCTCCTATCAGAATCACCTCGTATCAAGAATGTATTTTCGGGACTTCCACGTTATAGAACACCTCGTATCAGAAATGTACTTTGGGCGCGCAACAATGAAAATGCTCGCATAACATCGCTCTGACGTCCTCATTTCCCGGTCCGACCGTCCCATCGGACGAGCAAACGTCCAAACGTGCAGAACCTGCACACATGGCAATGAATTTTGCGAAATGTGCGCCACGCGCCAAAAAGCAATGCCACGCACGTTCATCGAACGTTGCCAAACCTGTCAAATGTTTATATATTCTATATATTGTTAGATAGGCTACAGTGAGTTGCCCTCTAAAGGGTACAACACTTTAGGTCGACATTTGTATCTCCTTGTCTCTCCTTACTCAATCATCACTCTCGACACTTGTCTCCTAGCCTATTTTAAGATGGTATTAGAGTAGGTTTTTACTCCCTCCCACGCTTCCGCTCCCTCCCTTAGCCGGTCCCGAGGCGCCCGTCCCTTAGGCCCCGTTTCGTCGCGGGTAGGACGGCCCCCGCGGGCCTCGTTTTCGTCGCGTTTAAGGGCCCCCGCGGGCCTCGTTTTCGTCGCGTTTAAGGGCCCCCGCGGGCCTCGTTTTTCGTCGCGTTTAAAGGGCCCCGCTGGCCCCTCGTTTCGTCGCGCTCCAGAAGAGACTCCCCCCCCCCCCCCCCCGCGGGCCCGCGTAGTCGTTCTTAGCCCGCAGCAGCGCGCGCGTTAGCCAGCGGCAGCCGCGCACGCCACTGCAGCACGCGCATTGCAGCAGCAGCGCGTGCATTGCTGCAGCAGCACGGCTAGGCAGCAGCGCGTGCATTGCAGCAGCAGCACGGCTAGGCAGCAGCGCGTGCATTGCAGCAGCAGCACGGCTAGGCAGCAGCGTGTGCATTGCAGCAGCAGCACGGCTAGGCAGCAGCGCGTGCTCCTGCAGCAGCAGCACGGCTAGGCAGAAGCTAGCCGCCAGCAGCAGCTAGCCACCGGAACCTAGCCGCCAGCAGCTGGCGCCAGCTAGCCCCTCCCACCCGCCCACAGCCCCTTTCAACCGCTCACAGCCCCTTCCAACCGCTCACAGCCCCTTCCAACCGCTCACAACCCGTTCCAACCGCTCACAGCCCCTTCCAACCGCTCACAGCCCCTTCCAACCGCTCAGAGCCCCTTCCAACCGCTCACATCCCCTTATCACGCGCGCACACCACCCAGGACCACCCGACCTCCGTAGGTCTCTCCTCGCTCCGCCAGCCCCTCGAACGACTCTCTGGCTCCTCGATCGGCTCGTCAGCCCTGCCTCCTCCAGCCGTGTGCTCCTAGCTCAGCTAACTCCTAGCTCCGTTCGTTACTAGACTGGCGTTCCTAGCTCAGTTTTCCTCCGTGCTCCAGCAGTACCTCGCCTAGTCCCACCTGGCGCTCCTCGCTCCTAGCTCCGTTTGCTCCGTGCTCCAGCTGTTCCTAGCCTAACTTCCAATATGGACTCCTCCCGCCGCCTTCGTTTCGATGCAGAGGGGCGCCCGATAGAGTTCGGCACCTGGCTCCGCCAGACTCAGCGCTATCTCACCAGTCAGCGCCAGGACGGCGCCACCCTGTACGCCCACGCGTCCGGCGCCCTCCAGGCACCACCGCGTCCCGAGCCCCTCCCTGCCGTGCCCCCCCCGACTCCGGAGGCACAGGCGGACTACGCTCGTCTCGTCTTGGCGCGGGACGTTTGGGACTCCCGTGACGCTGCGGCTGCACTCGCGCTGACCGAGCTCCTTCCACCGACTGAGGCCGCTCACTTCGACCTGGTAGAGACTGCGAAGGAGGTGTATGATGCTATTTCTGCACGCTATTCCACCCCTTCCTCTGCCTCCCTCAGCCGCATCCTCATGCCGTTCGTGTTTCCCGACCTCGGCTCTTTTGCGACTGTCTCTGACCTAGCCACACACTTGCGCTCCCTTGTCGCTAGCTACCGAGCAGCTTGCACTGAGGCTCAGCTTCTTGTTGCTCCTCCTCCTATTTGGCTCACAGTCCACTGGGTAGTCACTCGTCTCCCTGACCGCCTCTCCACTGCCCGTGACGCACTTCTCCAGCATCACCCCAGTGAGCTTACGATTGATCTTCTCGAGACCACTCTCGGGAAGATCGAGAGTAACCTCCTCTCTGTTGCCTCAGCCACTGACGCAGTTGCCCCTCGTTTGTTTGAGGGGTGTGCTGTCCCCCAGCTTCCTACCTTCACTGCTACACGTGCCTCTGCTGCTGTGTCGGTTTCTGAGGACACTGCAGCTGTTTCTGCCGCTGACAGGCAGAAACGGGGCAAGGGGGGCAAGAAAGGGGGGAAGGGGGGTGGCGGCGGTGGAGGAGGTGGCGGTGGTGGAGGCGGCCCTGGGGGCGGCAGTGGTGGCGGTGGTGCCCCAGGCGGAGGGAGCTCTGGAGGAGGTGCTGACCCACCTGCTGGAGGAGGTTCGACCAGCGGTGGTGCGGGGCCCCAGCAGCAGCAGCCACAGCAGCAGCAGCCACAGCAGCTGCACCAGGGACAGCAGCAGTGGCAGGCACCACAGCAGTTTCAGACGTGGGGACCCCCACTGCAGTGGGGTCCGCAGCAGCACTGGGGCCCTCCGCCACAGTGGGGACCTGGAGGACCCGGGAGCACTGGCCGCAGCAGCAGCACTACCAGCTGGGCCCCTCGCCCCCTGCGGCGCGACACCGGCCCCTGCGACCACTGGTGCATCACCGAACCTGGCAGTCCCTGTGTCTGCGGCCGCGACGACCACTCTGCAGCGCGGTGCTTCCGCCGCCTCGACGACCTCTACCGTGCACGCTGGGGTCCTGAGGCGACCACCCCGCGCTGGGCTCGCCTACTAGCCCGTAAGATTCCTGTATTTGAACTGTCTATGGACGATGCTCGTCAGTATGCTTTGTATGCTGATGTTAACTATAGTGCTGATGGATTTGTGTGCTCGCGTGTTCGTAGTCTAGGATGCTTGCCTCCTGTTAGTGTAGACCTGTGCCTCTCTAGTCTAGGTGCTTTTCTGCTCTAGGTGCTTGTGTAGCCTCCGGACCTGACACGCCTCCGGCTGAGGCGTCTCTGTCGTTCACGCTGGACTCTGGCGCGTCGCAGTGTTTCTTCCGCGACCACACGACCCTCACACCACTTCTTGCTCCGGTTCCGGTAGCTTTGGCTGATCCTTCTTCAGGACCAGCCGTTGCGCGCAGCTCCACCACCCTCCCGTGCCCTGTGGTCCCCTCTGGTGTCTTGCGCGGCCTCCACATCCCCTCGTTCACTCGGAACTTGGTGGGTGTTGGATACCTCCAGGACAGGGGGATCACCGTTACCTTTGTGGGGGGGGGTCGGACTGCAGTCTGTACTGACGCTACCACAGGTGCTGTTCTGGCCACGTTCACCAGGGAGCCCCGCTCCGGTCTCTACGTTCTCCACACCGAGCGCTCCCCGGTCGCGTCCTCCCCTTAGGTTGTTGCGTCCCCTCCGACCCAGGTCCCCAGTCCAGTTGATGTGTCTAGCCAGGTAGTCGTGTCCAGTCCGGTCGCTGTGTCCAGTCCAGTCGCTGCGTCTTGCTCCTGTCGCTCTCTCGCCCACCGCACCGTCCTGTGGCACCACCGTCTTGGCCACCCGTCGATCCCTCGCCTTCGTGGCATGCTCAGTCAGGGACTAGTCACAGGTCTCCCACGCACCTTCCCGTCGCTCCCTCTCTCGCTTGCCCCTCCTTGCTCTCCGTGCGTCGCCGGTCGCTTACGCGCCACTCCCCACTCCTCCTCCCTTCGTCCGGCCACCGCTCCCTTCGAGACTCTCCACTTGGACGTCTGGGGCCCTGCCCCAACGCAGGGGTCTGGGAGGGAGCGTTACTTTCTGGTGGTCGTCGACGACTTCTCCAGGTACACCACAGTGTTCCCTCTTGCGAAGAAGTCCGAGGTGACTGCTACGCTGATCAGGTGGCTTCTAGCCACTGAGGGCACTTGTGGTCGTCGAGTCAGTTGTCTTCACTCCGACCGTGGGGGCGAGTTTCGCTCCGGCATTCTCGGCGGATTCTGCGGCGAATAGGGCATCACCCAGTCCTGGACGCTGCCAGAGTCCCCACAGCAGAATGGGGTTGCTGAGCGCCGCATAGGCTTGGTCATGGACATCGCCCGCACGTCCATGATTCATGCCCGTGCGCCCCATTTTCTGTGGCCCCACGCGGTTCGCTACGCCGCACACCAGCTGAACCTCCAGCCGCGTGTCTCGCGGCCCGAGGCTTCACCGACCAGTCTTTGGACTGGATCCCCTGGTGTTGGGTCGGCCTTTCGAGTCTGGGGCTGCCTTCCACTTGTTCGCGACACCTCCGCGGACAAGCTCTCGGCACGCGCCGTCCCCTGTGTCTTCCTTGGTTTCCCAGTGGACTCTGCTGACTGGTCCTTTTACCACCCTCCCCTCC